ATGCAAGATCCTATCTGAAAAATAATCAAAGCAAAAAAGTGGCTGGAGGCCTGGGTCAAGTGGTAGAGTGTCTATCTAGCAAGTACAAGGCCCAGAGTTCAAACCCATTATAACCAAAAAAAGACTTAAATATTCCCAAAGCTGAAACATCTCTTTTTGCCAACCTAGGGTGTGACACCATGCCTAGTGATTCTCTGCTCTTGGCCAGAAGAACTAATGTGCCCTGGTTTGCCCAGGACTTCCTGGTTTTAGCCCTGAAAGTCCCACCTCCCAGAGTCTTCAATTCCAGGAAAACTGCCAGTTTATTACCACATTCCCAGTCTTTCCATCAAGGGCAGCTCTACTCCCCACATCCACGTACACCAGCTGCAGTGTTTCACAAGTTCCTTGGCTCCTGCCTCTGAGACCCCCTAGCACCAAATTCCTCCTACTGTCACTCAACAGCCACCAAGCAGACTGTCTTCTTATAACTGAATAACACATGGATGGGACCTGACTATCAGGGCCCTTGGCCATTAGCATTTGGTCTGTGATTGCTGCAGGTGTCAGTCACACAGCTGGCTCCGTCTCCACTTCCCCATTCCAGTGCCTCTTGTCCCATTGGGTTATGAAGGCCTCTGCCTGCCCTAGGCCAGCCCACAGGGGATTCCAGGGACCAAGGCCTGGCTCTGGATCATAGATCACACCTGGGCATGCATTTCCTCTGGGACTTGAGCTCTGTTCAGGGATGTATATGGTCAGAGGCCAAAGAAAACCTCTCTCGGGCTGTCTACTATTGAGGAAAGGTGACACAGCTATGGTTAATAGATATAAGGTGATCTCTTGACATGGTCCTCAGAGCCTGTAGCTTTTCTTCTTAACATTTTCACTGGTGAAAAGGCTTTATCCTTTCAGATAAAAATTGATGCTTTGAGTCCTGTCTGTACTCAAAGATCATTCAGAAACAAGCCTGGAGAGAAAAGCAAGGTGCCAGATTAAGGGTGACACTGATTAAACCAAAATAGTGGTGAAGGACAGGGGAACTAATCTGATCTGTGGAATCCTCATTTTGCCAGTGGCAGCCATTTCTGATTCATTCCTCGGTTTAAGGAAAGATAAACATGTACACAAAACCAAGCATGATCATATACAAACTCATATGTAGAACATATTTGTAACAGTTCCTACTCTATGGAACTGGGAGAAGGAGGGAAAGGAAAAGAGAATAATAGAGCATCAGTAATATTGTGAAAAATGATATCAGTGAGGGTAGATGATATACGGATATGCATTGAAAGTTGTTGGAAAAGGGAGGAGTGGGAAGTAAAGGGGCAAAGGAGATTAATGGATCAAAGTAAAGTATACTCACAGCAGGGATACATTGAAAAACCCCTTTTAATAGCAACTCAAATATTAATAATAAAAGACAGCACTGTAAAATAGATACAGTGTGTGGGGGGTGCTTGTGTGAGGAGAGAGGGTGAAGGAAGGAAATTAAGGTGAGGGTATATGGTTGATGGACTTCATATACTTGTATGATATAGAACAAAGAAACCTCTTACAATTGCTTTAAGTGGAGTGGGGAGGGAGGTGAGTGGGAGAAAGGATGGGGGGGCGATCCAACTAATGTACAATATAAGCCTATTTGTAATTGTCACAATGAATCCCCCTATACAAATTAAAAGAATAAAACAAAACAAAGATGGGGATCTGGGGCAATGTGAAGAAATGACAATTATACCATGCAGTAAACTTTTTTTTAAAGAAAAAGATAAATTCCTGTTACTTGCTATCCAGTTTACTCATTTCATTTCCCTGATAATTGTCTTTTACTGTTTTGGGGGCAGATTGGTAAAGACAACTGATGGAGAATGGTTTCTTTTCCAGAAAATTCCTATAGAAATAGGAACCCAGTTTTTTATTTTTGAAACAAAGCTTACATTCTTTCCTGAAATAGACTAAGGTGTGCAGGTAAAGGGTGTAGATGAAAGAAAAAAGAAAATGGTATCTGTGTGTGCACGTGTGTGGATCTCTCTGTGTGTATATCTCCGTGTATACATGCATATGTACACGTGTATATGTGTGCATGCATACATCCATAAGTATCTGTGTGTACATGTAGGTGTATATGTGTGTGTGGATACATGTTGGGGGCATCATTTACAAGTATGAGGGAAGGAACTATGTTTTACTTGTTCCCAGTGGGAGGTGTTGAAGAGACAAATCTCTTCCTATGCATGTAAGACATCTGGTTCCTTGAAAATTTGTGCAGGGGTGAAATATCCATCAGTGAATAAAGAAATAGTTCCACCAAAGTTCATGGTGAATGTGGTTATTGTCACATTCTGGAAGTGGGCACCAGTAAGCACTTTTTGTCTGCCCTCCACCCCCATCACTGCACATGTCTATTTTATTGTTCCTCCATTACTGACAGACTTAGGTCTGGTTTCTAGAAAGCAAGCTTTTTAGGTTAGTATATAAAATGCAAGCTTTCCTGTTTAGAAAAATTTAATAGTCTTAACAAGCAAGCCAGTTTTATAATATTGTTTCATTAAGTACGTTTTATAGTGAAAATATTTTCTCAGCTTTTAAGTGAGCTTTATATCTCATCACATACTAAGAAATAGGACTTTGAATCAAGGGCATTAAAAAGGAGACAGGGGAAAATCCTCACAAAATCTAGCACACAAACACACAGGTAGACAGTCTCTTTTCTGTATAACTTGTGTTGAAATCTATTAGATTCAGAAGTTGATCCAAAAAATAGCCCAGGCTATAATTTCACCAGAGATATATCTTGTTCATCTATAATTCCATAGTTTGCTATTTAAGAGCAAAATGCTTCAAGTATTTTGACAAGTTGCAAATATACCCCTGGAAGTTGGTATAAATCTGCATTTATGTACTTTTTACATAAAAGGTAGTTCTCCAAATCAAAAAATTATGAAAGATCGTGTGCCTAAGATTGTTACACTTTTTCTTTGCAAAGTGCAATTTTAAGCAGTAATCTCTTTTTTTCTTTTAAAATTCCTCAGATGAAATACAAAGGAACAAGCTATTGGTGCAAACAATTTGTGAGAATCTTTTTAGCATGGAATAAGAACAGCCACTTTTAGAAGGTAGACTGAATGATTCCATTTTATTTAGCCTTCTCAAAATGAGAAAATTATAGAGGTGGCAAACAAATCAATGTGTGGTGGTGGGGTGTCCAGGGAAGCAAAGGATCCAGGAGGGTGTGACTATTGAGATAGCCCCAGAGAGTTGCTTTGTGGTCATGGCAGTCTGTATCTCGATTGCAGTTGTGACCCACATATAATGATGTCATAGAACTATACACAAAAATGCGTGCATGCAGAAACTGGTTGTATTGTGTCAACATCTTGGTTTTGCTAATATACTACAGTTATGTAAGATATTATGGGGGTGCTGAGTTATGGGTATATAGGACTTTACGATTTTCGTAACTTCTTTGAGTCTGTAATTATTTCAAAATATAAGGCCTTAGATCTGTGTTGAAGAAAGGATTCCAGCTACTAATTAAGCATACTTAGGAAGCAATTTAGTCAAAGACTGGTGACCTTTCTGGTGGCAGGGTTTTCAGATTTAAACTGAAGACTCTTGATGTAGCTTATGAGCAGTATCTAAGCCTGCCTCTCTTAAGCTGTGTAATTGAAAGCAATGACTGTTTTCATCATTTCTTTAAAGTTGTGGAATCAGGAAATTTTAGAGCAAGCAGTGGCCTCATAGAGAATGTGGGCCAAGCTCTCAGGTTCCACCTCTCACTGGTAACACGAAGGCTTTGTCCTACTTTCTTTGTAGTGTCAGGCCTTGCTCTAAATTTTATAATCCATGTTCCAGCAGAAACTTTAATGGCAAGCTTATACACTTTGCCTTAGTATTTATTGTGAGACAAACATTCCAATTTATGTTGATGACAAATGTGGATGCAGAAACTACTGTGTAACACCATCTTATATGGAGAACAAACTAACTAGGCTAATTTTAGTGCTTAGCTTAAGTTATATTTTTCCAGACAGAGGGTCCTGGGCAGTTTCCTTGAGATGACTTATCATTACATCTTTGTGCAAAACATAGTGTTTGTATCCACTGGTGTATTCACATAGAAAGTGCCTTATTTACATAGGGCAGTATTGCCCTTGATTACCCACCAGATTTGCTAAATCAATCCTGGGGAAGACTCTGACCAAGCAAACACTAAACACAGGAGAATTTAGAGTGGCTGCTATCATTTGGGCATAAATGAAAATCCGCCCTCCTCAAAAGAAGGAAGTAAAGGTGAATATGGTTGATATACTTTCTATACAAGAATGAATTTTTAAACCTGTTGAAATCACTATAAGGAGACTAAGGTAGAAGGGAAAAAAAAGTGAAGGGGATGAACCAAGTTGGGATATAATGCATATATACATGGAAATGTCATAATGAAACTTCCTGTACAGCAGGAGCAAACAAAATGTCTTTTTTCAAAAACAGAGAACAGGAAGGTAAAACAGGTCCTGCCTGGGGATTGGTACCCATGGGAGAACGGAGGATATAAGGAAAGGGGTAGGAGGGTGAATATGGTGGAAATAATATGTACTTATGTATGAAAACAGAAAAACAAGACCTGTTGAATCTATTCTAAGAATGGGGGAAGAGCGGTAAAGAAGAATGATGGAGGGGGTGAATTCATCTGACATGTTGTAAGAACTTTTGTAAATGTCACAATGTAACCTCAGTACAATAATACGATGAAAAAGACTATCTTAGAACATGGAGACAAAAATATTGATGCAAACACTGGAATTTCTTGATAGGTGGGATTAACTAAAAACTCTATAACCAACTATAAGATTATGGAGATAAATTAAAAGTAAAATCAAAAAGCAGCAAATACCTTCAAATAAAAACTCCACAGAAAAAAAGATACACTTTCTTTATGAATATAGTTCAGCATCCTTACTGTAAAGTTGTTACATGAAAATTTTTTCTTCATGTAATACTAAGGAAACTAAGCCCATTGTAAAAAAACCAAAGAACCCTAAACCCAAAATCTGTATGGCTGTGCCTTACCTCTTGATAGCATGCACAAATGATCATAAATGCAGCACATTGTGGTTTTTGGTATTAAATTTCCTTAACTCCACAGTTACTATTATTTTTTGCTGGTATTGGGGTTTTAACTCTGGGCCTCATGCTTCCCAGGTAGGCATTCTACCACTTGAACCACTTCACCAACCCATTAACTCTACAACGATTTAAACCTTAGTCTTCCAATCAAACACAAGAACAAGTTAGCAACTCACAGCATTAGTATAACCATTTTATTAACAAAAGGAACCCATAGGGTTCAAACAAGAGTACAAAATACAATCTTTATTTTTTTCCTGTGGGCTAAACTGTTACATTTTTAATAAATTAAAAAAAAATCTTTCATAGCTAATTTATCAAAAACATAACCCCTGCCTACTGAGTCTCTTATTGTGCAAAACAAAAACACAAAAGTAAAGTTTTGCCCAGGGAAGGAAAGATTCTGTGTGCCAAAAAATTCAAACCTTCAAGTTTTTTGCATCAAAAAGAAAATTCTAAGGCCACTTTTATTTTTCCAAACTAAACAAGAGCAAGAGGGGAATAAACAGGCAAATAAATCATAGCAGCTAAATTTTTATCTTCATTCACAGGTTTTTGTTGTTGCAATACAGTTTTCAACATTCGCAAAATGATATCTTGCTTATAAAAAGGTATGCAGTTTCCCCTTGCTGCTTCAGGTCAGATGGGCCAACATCAGGCCACATCTTTGAGCTGTACTCTTTAAGTGCTACAAAGTTAACTTTGCTTCAGTTTCACAGGAGACTTCATGATTTCTCTGATCAAAGGGATAAAGCAATCCTAATGAAAGATTCCACCAAATGGTGGGTTTTGTAACTAGACCTAAATAATTCAACTTTTTCTCTGCCCATGCTATTTGTTTCCCTTTGTTTTGGTTTCATGGAGATGGGTACTGTCTGGACACAGCACGTAAACTATACCCGGGAAGTCGACAGACAACTGGAGAGGATCTTTCCTTAAATAAAAATAAAGCTGTCCAACAGTACACGCGCATGCGCGCGCACACGCACGCGCGCACACACACACACACACACACACACACACACACACACTCATCAAAATGAAAAACAAAGCGAGGAATAAAGTTTTGTGACAATTCCAGTCCCACAATTACTGTTATAACTGTTTGGCGTTGTGATTTGGAAACAGTGGCTTCTATTGAAAGAAGTATGTTTGAGGCTTCCATGACACAGAGAAGAGCACTGTGCTCAGGGTGAAAAGCATACATTTACCTAATGTTTGTAGAAAATCCCTGATCAAATGGCCAACTGATGTTTAAACAAAAAATGTAACCATGGAAGAATTTTTCTATTTCTGGGTAAACATACTGATTGAAAGGTTAAGTTAGTCACTCTGCTGAGTGAAGCACAGTAGTCTGCCTGGGAAGCACCAGGGTTTCTAGATCAAACCCTTAGGATTCTGCTGGTCCAAAATCTCTGTCAGGAGAACCCCTATCTCCCTCCACTTAGTGCACAGAAATTTTCTCAGCTCACAAAACTGACAGACTGAAGGAGAAGTGAGTGAGCACGGGCCATGAACACAAGGGGAGGGTGGGCAGTATAAACACTGCTCAAGCTTCCAGCAGAAACACAATCCTGTTGGTCTTAAATATCCTGAGGTTAGAAAACAAAAAAATATTGCACCAAAATCATAAAAAAAATCACAGTTTGAATAGAATTACTAGAGAATTGGAATAATAATGTATAACTCATAACTGCCATCAGTTGACTTAAGCCTTTTAACAAGAATTAAGTTTATGTCTTTTTTAACTATGTTGTTGCTACCTCTTTTTGAGTTTACATTTATTTTGAAATATCCCTAGGTATACATGTTTATTTTCATTTAATTCAAAACTTAAGGATTTTCCCCTTGATCTAGTTTCAGATCTAGCAATAGGTGAGAGAAATCTGCTACTATAAATAGCAGACAGTCCAAAGAAGGATGATCAGATCTGGAGATGTAAGAACTTATCTGATAACCCCACTGGAGGTAGGTTAAGAAAAAAAATTTTTTAATGTGTAGTTATCAAGGCATCCTGAGGATGTAAACTCATCCCTTCTTTTTTTTTAATGTTCCCTTAGGTAAATGAGATATAAGGAAAATCAAACAGATATCTGTTAAAGTACTTTAGGTTAAAAAGTATAGCCTTCCACAGAATACATTTTCATGTTAAAATTTGTCTTTCCTCTTTGATGTGGCAAGCTTGTCAAAGAAACCTTTCTAGATTTCCTAATACTGTTTACAAAGTACATTTTAACCTACTATTGAAAAGGGTGGAAACCATATTTTGTCATTAGGACCTTACATGAGTATAATTTCAAGAAAGGACACTTCCAGAGACACTGGTTCTTGATATGGTAACATGGTAAGAAATCATGAAGACCCTGAAGCCTAAGGGTCTCACTCTGTGTGCATTTCAACACTGCCATACTCCCCCAAATCAAGTCACTTCCCAGCGAGTCACACCACTTCAAGTTCAGGACTCTTGTTCCACTGTGAGAAACCCTTGTAAAGGCATATTCATGTGGCATTTCCACTCTTTAGAGTACTGTCTCTCCATCAGCACAGCACTCCTTCACCTGCTCTATCGCCATCACGACCTCCAGTACATTCTCTGACTCTTCACATCCTCATTCCAGGTTTTAAAGGGGACATATTACCATCATATAAACTTGGGCAACCATCCTGTTGGCCCAATAGAAAGTTCTTACTTTCTTGAAAAAACTAACAGTCTAACTGGATGATGAACACAGTGATTTCTGAAATATATTTAAAGAATGAAGGAAACAGGCTGGGTTTCTTGGGTCTCTTCTAAATCAGCAGGATGTGGATCAATCTGTTAAAAAAGAGAAAAGACGACCAAGATTACCACTGCAGCATTCTTTAAATAATTCAGCACCAGGCACAGTAGCTCACACCTGTAATCTCAATACTCAGAGAGCAGGAAACTGGGTCTACACAGCAAGAACCTGTCTCAAAAAACTAAATGATTCCACTATTCACTTTATTGTTTGATGGCTATATGCCAAGTAGCTGAGAGCTTATTATGAAGACCTAGTAGGTTGTGAAGTTCTCTGTATTTCTTGCCCATGTAAAACATCTTAACGGCGATCCAGGCTGCTGTACATGGATGCCATAATAGATCACAAGGAAAATGTGTTAAATCACTCAGTGATACTCTATCACCACTGTAAAAATAAATTCAAATGTATCCCCTACCAATTATGGGTCAGCAACATACACTTTAATGAATGGAGAACGGCAAAGGATTACTAGCAGACATATGGAAGTCTCATCTTCCTTCACTTTGTTTACCTCTGAATAAAGAGGTGGGGGCTGGAACCGGAATTCCTGTATGCAGGCAAACATAGGGCAGCAGGCTTCACCCTCACAGTCAGGAGGCCGAGGGTACGGAGGAACATGTCTGGAGAATTCTTCCTCAGATACCACATCTGCATAATTTGGTGGTGCTGAAATAGAAACAGAGTTGAAGCTGAGAAACCCAAGCAAAAATTAATTTCTGACTTCTGAACTCTGACAAAAGAAACTTAGCTAAGGTTAAAAATAAGCCATTTCCCTGTAATCAGCAAGTTTTTGTGCCCAATTTCAACAAAATTTGATTCTGCTTTTATTAATGTTCTACTTACACTGATTACATACCATTCTTTTAAGGTGCATGTGTTATAGTCTAGGTAAATGAGTATCACTCAAATGTGGCTACAGAAAACATGTAACCCTCTATACTTCTATCTTGACTATTTCTCATTGTATTATTGCTACCAACTGGTATTAGGAGATGTACATTTTACTCCTCAGTCTGCCATCAGCTCTGTGTCCTGATAAATTAAACCTTCAAGGTCTCTTTCCAGGAAGGTTTTATGATTTCTTACTTAAAAGAATAAGGACAGTCACAGCAGTGGTTATAATTAACATGTGAACACTTAAACGACTCACACACTCTGTTCTTAGTTAGTTGGTATATAAAACTTAATTGTGAAAGAACTGCAAGATACTCTACCTTCAGGCTGTTCAGGCAGGGTCAGCGTCAACCAGCTCATGTCCATACTGAACTGGCTGGCAACACTGGAGTTTCTGCTGCCAAAACCGTTGTATGGAATTGTACCAATCACTAATGGCAACTCGAGCATCAACTTTTTAGCACCAGGAATGTGAATGTATACCTAATACATCAAAGAGAGAGAGAGACAGACACACACACACACACACACACAGAGAGAGAGAGAGAGAGAGAGAGAGAGAGAGAGAGAGAGAGAGAGAGAGAAAGCAAATCTAAATTAAACTCACAGGAAAGCCTAATTAATTTCTTTCTTCCCAGAAACAAATGCTTTGTCACCTACCATCCCACCTCCATTACAAAGGTAAATTGTCCTGACAACACAAAATCAAGAACAAACAAAATGAAGAGTTCACAGAATAGAGTGAAAACCCTGTGACAGGAAACTGTGCTCTTAACACACTGCACTGTAAGTTGGCATGGCTTTCAATAATAACTCTAGAAAATTACCTCAATCCCTTTAGGCTACTTTATTAAACTTCCTGGGAAAGGGATTTATTTAGGTAAAAACACAGGTCAACCATCACATATCCTATTCCCCCAGATGGTGGCAAGGCTGACATAAAATGACATTTTCCTAAGTCTTGACTTAGGAATAATATTCCCAGTTAACATGGCTCCACTTACTACCTGGTGGTACCCATTTTAAATTTTAAAAGAAACTCTGCTTACAGCTAAGGAGTAGTCTACTCTGATGATGCAGCAGTCCAGGATGGATGGAGTGACAGGTGGGATCTTGAGAGTTTTCCCGTTCCACGTGTCCGTGCTCCCGGAGGCGATGTGGTTCCCTCGAACGTTGGCAACCATATGACGGACAGTCTTTGTTTTTCCACTAGCCAAATATGTCTGGGTTTGGTAAATAGCGGCTTTGGGAACAATCAGACGAGATGAACAATTCTCTATTTCTGCATAGATTGGAATAGCTTCTCCTAAAAAATAAAACAGAAAAAGAATGGATTCAGAGACTTCAAAACATTCTCCCACAAATGGAAGAGAGCCATTGCCAATTAAAGCTGAAATGTTCCAACACTTCTTTAACAAACTGAGGAGCCCTGATGGAAAACTTACTGTAAATCTGAGTCAGATAAGTGAAAATTCACAGCAGGTTGTGGTGAGGCTATTTTCTAGTGATTACATTATTCACTTTTCTAATGTAAAAAGATGAACAATTCTAAAGTATGCAAATAATATGTATACAAATTAAGGAAAGTCATACAAACAAAATGATTCAGTTCTAGAGCACACAGTTTATTAGATCACCAATAAACTTCCTAGTGCCTATCAAATTAACATCTGTCCAACAGGAGAGCATACCCTTTGCTTTTAAGGGATTAATAATGTTAAGGCATAAATAAAACAATGCACAGAGGAGACAAGTTTTACAGCATTACACAGCCACACCATAATATTCCATTCCACATTCATCTCCAGTGAGCCATGAATTGGGCCCTGCACAAATGATTGTTCTCATATCGATGTGACTAGTTTGTTAATGTCCTACCATTCTAGACCCATGTGTTTGCTGATCTCAGAGCAGTGTGCAATGAGAATGCCACCCGTATTTCCACACCATAGTAGTTCTCACATGAATATCACATCTGCAGATATTCTTTTGCAACATCAAATTAAGATGCTGGCATTTTTTCCCACTTTTCTAGTTTTACTCTTTTGTTACTAAAGTAATAGGATTGAAGTCAGAAATGTCAGAAGTTTTACCGGAACTTATTCATCTATTTAAAATACGTACATGTTATTTATTTACATTAAAAGCAAAACATTATTCATGTTTTAAAATACAATGTACTTCATACAGTACAAAACACACTATTTAAAGTCACTTAAAATCAGCTAATAAAATGAATGAATGAATGTTTCATTTGGACTTTCAAACATGTTGCTTACCATTACAGTATCCCTTTCTTTCAATTTTGGCACTCAGCGAGACTGGACCAGAAGTGAAAAACCAACAGCCAACCATTTTCTCTTGAGTTTTCAATACAGGGGTCTTGAAAATTTCAAATAAAATGACCTTAATTAAACCACTCTAGAGAACTCACAGAATGTAAAATTATGTCTTTCTTCATAGAATAGTTATACAGAATATCAACCTTTCTTATTCTCACGTGGCATGTCAGGTAAAATATGTACTGAGTTACAAAGTGCTATAACTCATTTCCTTCTTAGGAAAACTAAGGTGCCTCTTCAGATTCAAATTAGCATGACATCATCCTATTTTATCCTAGAAAATGATATACTATCCCTTTAAAAACTAAAGGCTACATTAGTACTTATAAATGTGACAGAACTGTTCCTTATGACTTTAGGTATAGATCAAGTGAAAGGAGAAATGATATAAAATCAATCAGAATGCTACATTTGTTTTTGCATTTACTATGTAGAATAAGCAGCTTTTTTTCCCTTCAAAATTGTATTTTTAGGCAAAAATTTCAACTGTTCTTGGAATAGTGTGGGGGCTTTGTGTAACATTGCGATAACATATTCAGTGTGAACAGAATATTATACCCCACCACAAAAGTCTATTCTGTTTTTAAAATTAAAAAGACAAGATTTAAAAATGTACAATTTACAAGTTGCATACAACAAAAACTTTCTGTAAAACCCAGTTACTTGTTATCTTTTTTCTTTATTTATAGAAAGAATAGTAAGGGATAAATAGTGTCTTCTTTTGGCAAAAACAAAACCTCTTTATATTTGCTATAGCAACCATGAAGAGTTTGGAAATATTTAACCTCCTAATTCTACGTAAGTTTTTAAAAAAATATATAAGGCACTTAGCATCACCAATTTGCAAGAAATGTTTTAAGAAGGTATTAAAAGTCATGGTTATCAGTCAGTTTGCCTGCGTGCTAGTGGCTATTTTATGATTTTGGCAATAAGAGACCATGTAACAGCAGTATACTGGTTATCTTTTATCCAAAGGTGAGCATTAATTCTACTTCTTTTTCATGAGAAAATTAAGAATTAAATAACTTTTAACTGTTAGCTTTTTCCTTCTCTTTTAAAAACACTGGTTAGAAAAAGAAACAGCCAATACTAAAAATACATCTTTGTTACATCAGTATCAATGATGGAAAGTTGAAATTATCTCAGTATTTTCTATGAAGTAAAAAAAAATCATTCATTCATATTTAAATGAAGAACCATTAGGTCTTAGTAGCTATCATGAAAGTACAAGGTATAATTTTATATTATTTTGATAATATGGGTTTAGATAAAAGAATCTAACTCATTAGCTCCCATCTTGCCTATTCTGTTGTTACTTATAGCCTGATCTTTCTTATCAGTCTACAGTATTTCTGGTGATTATTAGAAGTTCAATGCTTTAATGTGGCCAAATCTGTCATAAGGAAATGATAAGTGAAAGGATGGTGGTGGCAGCTGCATGCACTTACTTAATGTTAGAAAATGACATGCAAAATGGAAGGATACATAACATAATGGCCTGGGCTTCAATAACAGGCTCAGCTTGATTAACACTCTTCCATAATTACTGTTCCTCAACCTGCTATTATTGAAGAGTTTAGAATATCACAGTCCTGTGAATGTGGCTGCTCTGGTAAAAGTAACTACTCTCTGTGTGTGCACTATTGTTATTAAGCCTTATTAATGCATTTCAAGCTTGTGTAACTTTTTGGCAAAAGAAGGCCTGCACAGCAGGAACATAATCAATAGTATTAACACACACAATTTGTAATTTGCCCAACCTAGAATCATATATTTATAGTGAATGCCTATGGGTTAGGAGATTATTTTTTCTAAGTCATCAGAAAGTGACAGGACAGACTGTGACTAAACTGGCTAAATATAGATATCACTATTGAATGGAAGGAGGAGTGGGGGTGTTTGGGGGAGATGAAAAGAAGAAGGAGAAAGAGAAAAAGGAGGCACTTACCAACAATGCTGGTGTGTTGACATTGACATGACTAACGACCTGGAGCTCCCGTCTTACACTCTGATCTGGTACCATCGGTCGTTCCAAAACTGCCCTCACAGAATACTGAATACTTCCATATTTTCCAGTAAACGAGGTTACCAAGGGTCTGAAAGAAACCAAAGACGTAAATGTATGAGTCTCTTTTTCAAGTAAACAAAGCCATTTTGCTTCAAAATGTCGATTCAGGTTGAAAAACCAAGAGCAAGCAGGTTAAGTCTATAGAGGGGCTCCTCAGGACTGACACACATACTTCAGAGCCAAAGTCACCCGATAACACTCTAAATAAACACTTGGATGGGGATGAACCAGGGAATGAAAATCACGAAATTTTTATATAGCTTACTTACTCGGATGGAAGCTGAAAGCGAAATGGAAATTCATGTTTTCCAGGTTGTAGTAAAATGATGCCTTCACCTACAAAAGAGATTACATTTTATTTTCACTGAGGTTAGCATTAGATTAAGAGTCTTCATAGCTTAAATCAAATTTGGAAAGGAAGATTTCCTGGATGTAAAATGCAGTGGGCTCCAAAAGTTCACTAAACAGATTTAGAGAATTATAGTTGAATCAGTTTTTAACCAATACACATGTATATGTGTGTGTGAGTGTATACACATTTGTATGTGCCGTCTGTCCTCAAAAATTAATTTACATCATTACCATAAAGTGTAAGAGCCCAGAGCTCCAATATATATACCCAGTACATGTGTGTTTACACACATACATATATACACACACACACAACACGAGCTAATGTTACCCTACTCTATATACTAACATGAGATATTAGTATTAAATTGGACCGCAAACTAATTAACAAAAGTTAGATTTATTTTGGGTATGGGGTGGTAACTTGGGATTGACCAGCAAGGCCATGACCCCTTCTCCTGCTCAGGACTGCCTGCTCCTGTGACTTTACACACAGGCTGACTACTGACTGTGAGAGGTTAAAAATGCAGGGTGTGTGTGGATGTAAGACCAGAGGCACCATTGTGATCTCTGGTGAATTTATAGACAAGCTGCTTAATTCAGATTCCATGACTCCCAGTGCTGGTCAGGTGGCTCTCCTGTGATGCTTACAAACTTTCATTTCACACTTAGATTTAAGATTAAATTTCCTCATTTGGGGGTGGGATAAGATGAAGAAAGGGCAGCACAGAAAGAGAACTTTGAGATTTGTCTGGTCATCTGACACTAAAATTAAAATTTCTACTTTATCCATGTGTTAAAAATTTTTGAGAACAGAAATCACTAGTGAAGTGGGATTTAAATTACTAGAAATTTATGACCTTAAACATAACATTTCACCTGTGTACTTTTACAAAACAGGAGCATGTTAATTGGCCCATTAAGTCTTCTAAAAGTATCTTCAATTTCAGTATGTAATATGATAGGGTGAAAAGTAACATAAATTGATTTGCATAGAAATCCTTCATGTGTGGGTGACTTGAAGGCAAAGAGAACAATCAGCCTTTACAGGGACAGGAAGTCAGATGAAATGACAGTGACATGGTGAATGGCAGAGGTCAGGGGTGCTCAGGAGCTGCCTGCAAGCTTCAGAAGGGCTACAGCAGAGCCATTGCTCTGAAGTTGGGAATATTTCTCTGTCTTCCATGACCGTCTCTAGTGACATCACATCAGTCTTCTGAGAACTGGGATGTCAGTCAGTTTTGATTAGTAATCATTAGATTACCGAGCATGACAAAGTACCTCCCAATGTTTAAAAATGTGGGTTTTATCTGAGTTCAAAGTTTATAGGGCATATATTTCAGGTGTAAAAATGAGTAACTCCAATCTTCATATAGACCAGTGACAGAAAAGGAGACTAGACAGTTGTACCCAAGAAATGACCGTGGAGTGCTAGGACCTAGAGCATTCACACAGGACCATAGGTGGGCCTGGCACCTTGACTACCTGAGGATTGGAATGGAGACAAGTGGGACAGGGTTTAGATGAAGGGAGCAACATGAGGAAGCATGACAGACATGTAGAGAAGAGTTGCCCAGGATACTGAAAGAGGCTAAGAGAGAGGGTTGACTATCTCCTACATTGAGAAAACAAAGCAACATAGGAACTGTATCACTTAAGTGAGACTTTCAACTACCTTCAAACATATACACAAAAGCAAAACTGAGAGAACTGATAAACATGAGTTATAGTATTTGGAACGAACTGTTTCTCCCTTTTTAATTTTCATCATTTTTAATTAAAAATGTTCCCAAGCTGAAGTATGAACCCATTTCTGCTTTTTTGGTCTCATGGTTTGTACACTGAGGATTAGTGTCACAGGGAGCTGTTCCATTTACTAACTGTCTTCTTACAGCCAAAGCTTATAATTAAAGGCTTTCATAGCCCTGGGATCTAGAAGACCATTACAGAGGCAGGGACTGGGGCTCAAGAAGGGGAGGGACCTGCATGAAGCCACACAGCTGGTGGGTGCACAGGAACTGAAGCCATCTTTCTGGTTCTATCTTCTTATCTTTCTATCACAATTCCTCAACAAAAATATGAAAAACTTCAGTCACAATAGCAGGAAGTATTGGATTAGGTTAATAATGCCCAAAAAATTATCTGGGGAGATTTTTTTGAAAATAAGATCCTAGGGTCAAATTTCCCAGAAATCTAGATTTTAAAAAAAATCTCTTTAGGTGACTAAAAGACAGCCAGGTTTTGGATTAAATTACCCTGAGAATCTATGACTATGTCAAGTTGTTAACTTCTTCCAAGTGGTAGATGTGAGGGGTGGGTTTTCTTTCCTCAACTAAAAGAGACTACGAGTTTTAGTAAAATATAAATGTTGCTAATAGTTGTCATGATACAGTCTAAAACTACTCAAAGGTTTTCAAAAGGTCTAGGTTTAGACACTCCATTAAAATGAAAACAGCAACAAGATATGACTTGTGAATCAAAAAACTGTTAGCCCAGATTTTACCAAACCAATTTTCACATGTTCAGCTGCTTTTAATTTTATGCTTATTTACTCAACAGTCATAGGCTCAGAGAGTCTAAAGTCTTGGACAAAATCCAATTTACTCCTCTCTTCTATGGCAGTTTCTTCTACTCAGCCATCTTGAAAATCATGTTGGCTGTTGTCACTGGAGGAGGGGAACTGGGTGACCCTGAGGAACGGCATCAGGGCAGGTAAGAACTTCATGCATCAAGCTGCTTACTCCAACAAACAGCTTTGGTTCCAAATATTATTCACCTCACCGTGATTTTGGGATCAGTGGGGTTATTCACATACATTGGGGATTTAACTGCGGACAGTCTACTTTTCCATAAAGGTAAGTCAATACTGCATTCTATTTTTGGTAAGATACAGTGAGGGTTAAACCATTTTACTCTATAAATTATCTTATTTGATAGCTAAAAGCTGATGATATAGAAAGGTAAGAGTTTAAGATGGTTTCCCCTAAAACTCACCGTCCTTAGTATTTGCATAATGAAGGGAATCAGTTTTTGTTCCTAGTATTAACGTATCACCATGTATAGGATCCCCAATATGTGGGGACATGGGCCCTTCTGGAAAAGCCCACACTATCACTGAACTTCACAAGAGTGAATAGGAAGGGTCCAGAACTAACCAGGTGCCATGGTCTGCAAAGGCCTTTTGGGAAATGGGAGAGGCAGGAGGAAGAGGATTGCATGGAAAGGAAGCAACAGTGAGAGGCAGAGACCCAGCTCTTAATGAACGGCCCGCTCCCCAGAAGGGAGAAACCAAGTATGATGGCCATACTAGAAACAGGTCTTCTGACACACCCAAGGGCTACTTCCCTGTTCCCAGGACGACTTTCTGCTAATTCATCACGAACCGAGAAGTGTTGAGGTCCAGGATGAGAAGAGGCCCATGAAACACGAGAGCATCTCAGAACCAACCTCTCAGCCCAGAAGGGTCCTAGAACACTGGATCCCTGTCAATCAAATCACTGGTTCCCACGGCAACGGCCCCACCAGCGTCTGGGTCCTAGAGAAGCCCGGGACTCAGGCGCTGCTTCGCCAACCTGGGCAAGCCTGGGACAAGACTGTAGGCAGAGCTGCGCACCACCGCGTGTGCGCCGACCTCGCAACTGTGTCCGTCACCCGCCGCCGGGGGATGGGGATGGGGATCCACCTCCGACCCCAGATCCACCCGCCAGGCGGGCATCCTGCCTGCGCGGGCCCTCCCTCCTCTCCCCTTCCCACCCCCGGCCCCGGGGACGCCGCGGCCCGGCGGTGGGAACCGGGCTGTGCGGTCGCTCACCCGCCGGGGGCTCGCGCAGGCTCAGGCGCACATTCAGGTACTCCACCTCCGAGGCGGCGGGGACCGCGCCGCCGGCCGACACGCGGGCGCCGGCGCTCGGGCCCCAGGCGGCGGTGGCTCGGCCCTGGGCCTCCAGACGCAGCGCGCGAAGGGCCACCGGCTCGGCCGCCTCCAGCAGCACGTGCCCGGCCACCGTCTCGCCGCTGGAGTAGCAGCCCTTGCGCTCATCCTCGAACACCAGACCCAGACTCTTCACGCGGCCCTCGAAGCCCACGGCCGCCGTGGACCTCGCCTCGCCTCCCATCCCCGCCGGGAGGGATGCGGTCCCACCACTGAGGTCCGCAGAGGCCCGAAGTCCGGGTCGCCAGCACAGCACTACGGCTGTCTGGGGCGCCGGCCGCACGCCAAGAGCCACCACCGCTACAGTGCGGTACCGGCTGAAGCACCAGTGCGCAAAGGCGCCTGTCGCTTTAACAAACCAGACTGGAACTGGAAAAGGGGGCTGGGAAAACCCACCCCGGCGCGTGCCCATAGGTCCTTTGGAAGACCTGCTTCTTGCTGATTGGTTGTAAAGAGACATTGAGTCATTTCATTGGCGGCCTCACGTACCGCTTTGGAGCAGCAAGGCACTGCGTGATCAAGCAGTGTTGGCCAATCAAGAGATGCAAGTGTGCACGTGCACAGGCCGTTTATTGGCTGGGACGGGCACAGTTCGAAGGCATGGGCCAATAGTGAAGTGAGGTGCCCATGTGGACAGAAGGTGGCAAACAATATCTGTGAGGGAGGGGCAGAAGCGGGTATCTCCCGGCTCTTGGCGTGTCAGCGGTTCCTATGGTTACAAACGGGGGCGGGATTTCTGGCTGCCGGAGGATTCTATGCAGGAGTGACTGAGTTCGCCCTAGAACTTGAAGTTGTGAGTGCAGCCGGCTGGGTTTATGATTACAACTGCGACACTAGAAAGGAAATAGATGTCTTGGAAGATGGAACTCTGCAGGGTTTCCTTGTGAAACTTGGGGCCTGGCCGCGTCGCAACTTTAATGGACATCTTGGAATCTTCCAACCTCTAGATTCTGAGCCCCACCCCTTCTGGGGTTCGGAATTCCCACAGTAGGTAAGAGCCGAAGACAAGAAAAAGGAGGGCTGTGGTTCTGAACCCTGGTGTCCTCCTTCTGCTTCCAGTCCCTCGAACCTGGGAATGACTGGGAGTGTAATTCTTTCTGTCTGAATAAGGCTATGAATCAGGTTGGCTAAAAAACAGTATCCACCACCCGTGTTGCTATAAACAGCAGGATTTAATTCTTCTTTTTTTAATAATTGAGTAATATACCGTTTGATCATTACACATGGTATACCTGTATTGAATTCTTGTATACTATGAAGATATATAAATATTATCACTCAAAAGAAAGAGATAAACGTCTGCCACTCAAGTTTTTGCCCCCCACAAAAAGATGTCCTGACCTCATTATCATGGACAAAAAAAAGAAACCCTGGAAAATTTCCACGTTCCTTGATGACTTGCTCTCCACACCCACGCCTCTTCTTGACTGTCCTGTTTCTTCTTAATCTGTCATTTCTTTGCCACTCGCAATTTCTTTTACTGTCTAGCATAGCAGTCACTGCCATGCCATCATTTTCTCACCTTTTAAGCTTTATCAAAATTTCAAACTGGTGGCTCACATCTGTAATCCTAGCTAGTTGGGAAGCTGAGATTGGGAGGATCTCATTTCCAGGCCAGCCCTGACAAATAGTTGGCAGGACTTCATCTCCAAATTAGCCATAGCCAAATGAACTGGAGCTGTGGCTCAACTGGTAGAGTGCCTGGAGTTCAAACCTCAGTCTTCCCCAACCACCACACCCACACAAAACAATTCAAACATAAGAGCTGTTGTCACAGATTGATTAATCACAAATCGAGATCTAAATTCTCCCCATACAGAGTTTTTTTTTTTTAAAGGATCCCCAAGTAAAGGTTGCTGTACCATCCTCTTTGGGTTTAGATTATTAATGTAGAACTTCAATAAGGCTTTAGGAGTTCCAAGATTCCTTGTCACATCGCAAAAAAAAAAAAAAATGGAAGAGGCCACACCAATCTAGCTGTGCACAAGTTTCTGGAATAGCCTTAGTTCTCTGACCATTTTGTCTAGAATAGTCCCCAGTGTGCAATTCTTCTGCTGATTTGCTTCAGCACACAGCCTGATGTGTATTTTTATTTGCATGTTGTCCATCACTCCCACTGGAAAATCATTTTTTCCCTTTCCTCTGCTATGTATCATGAGCTTAGCATACAGTAAGTGCTCAGTAAATGTATGTTGACTCATTTGGATGATGAATCTCAACCCATTCAGTATTAGTGATTGTGCAATAAATGAATAGTACTCTATCTCTTGCTTACTATTCTTACATTGTCTCTGGGAGGATGGTCTCTAACCCTCTTTCCTCAAAATTAAGTGGCCGGGAAAGGGGGAAAGGACAATGATTCTAACAGCGTGATGAAAGGGAAGACATTCTGTGCTGAAAACGTCTGGGCTTTCTTTGTTCATTTTGTAAGTTAATATTATTTATTTATTACTTATTTATTTATTGCAGTGCTGAGGATCACATTCGGAGTCCTACTCATGCTAGGCAAATGCTCTACCACTAAGCTACATCTCTAGCCTTTGGGTTTTTAAGATAGGGTCTCACTAAGTAGCTGAGGCTGGCCTTGAACTTGTGATCCTCCTGCCTCAGCCTTCCAAGTACTAGGGTTCAGGCATGTACCATCATGTCAGTTAATACTTTGGCCTCCAGGCAGCAGAATGTGTGAGCTCCAGTGGCTTAAGCAGTAAGTATATTACTTGAACTTCTGCCTGAAGTAGTTCAGTAGTAAACCCTTTTAGGGTTGGTTCATCAAACTTTAAAAAAAAATCTTTTCATCTGCCATACTCAGCTCCTGTCCTGGTAGCAAAGGTTACCACAGCTCTAAATATCTCTTGAAACATAACAAAGCCTTGCAAGTCAAAGAAAAGAGCCTTTTTCTCTCTCCCCTCAGAGAGAAAGTGTATTTATTTCCTCGATGTTCCCAACAGACTTCTTACATGTCAGCAGTCTCCTGTGCACCCATAGGTAATTAACTGGCAAAAAATGAGGTATTTGCAATTTTCTTAGACGAGTGATTTTTTTTCTGGGGTGGATTGGAATCAGAGTTCTGTTAACAAGCTAGAGAGGTAGTTGGCTTTTGAATAATCAATTTGTAGAGCCAGTTGAATGGCTTGAGTAGGTGTGGCCAAGTTTTCTATAGAGCAGAGTTGTCCCACACAGAGATTGAAAAGGACTTTGTTGTTTTTACAGTTTTTATTAGCATGTTTCAATTGTGTAAAGGGTTTCATAATGATGTTTTCATACACACATATGTTTAATCATATTCATCTCTCCATTCCCCTCTTATGGTTGTTATCCCTCCTCTCCCCATTTCTCTTCCCAAATAGTCCTACTATTTTCTATGTCTTTTTTTTCTTAGATGTAGATCCCATGTAAGAAAAAACACATGATATTGGAGTATAAATCTGGGTTATTTTGCTTGACATGAAAATCTCCAATTCCTTTCATTTTCCTGCAAATGATATGAGTTAATTCTTCTTTAAGGCTGAATAAAACTCAAGTGTATATGTCCCACCTTTCTTTATTCATTCTTGAGTTGATGGACATCTAGACTGATTCTATAACTTGACTGCTGTGAATATAGTGCTGCAGTAAACATGGATGTGCAGATATCTCTGTTGTGTGCTGACTTACATTCCTTCTAGTATGTACCCAGGAGCAATATCACCAGATCATATGGTTGCTCTCTTTTTAGTCCATTGTGAAACCTCCATGGTACTTTCCAAAGTGGTTGCACTAATGTACATTCTCCCCAGCAGTGTATAAGAGTTCCTTCCCCCCACAATCTCATAAATATTTGTTGTTGTTTGTTTTCTTCATGACAACCATCCTGACTAGGATGAGAGGAGATGCCACTGTCATTTTGACTAGCATTTCACTGATGGTACTTCTTTTAAGAGCTGTCTGTTCCATTTGTTTTCCCACTTATTGATTGGATTATCTGTTCTTTTGCTGTGTAATTTTTTGACCTTTTTATATATTCTGGATGTTAATTAATGCCCTGGCAGAGATTGTCCCCCATCCTGTAGGCTGTCTCTTTACTCTGGTAATTGTTTGCTTTGGTGTGCAGAAACTTTTTGATTTGATACAATCCCATCTGTCGATTCTTGTTCTTTATGGGAGTACTATTCAGAGAGTTGTTACCTATGCCTGTATCTTGAAGTGTTTTCCTGCAGTAGTTTCAAAGTTTCATGTCTTACAAGATGGTCTTTGATCTATTTTGAGTTGACTTTTGTACAGGGTGAAAAATAGCAGTCTACTTTCAGTCTTCTACATGTGGATAGCCAGTTTTCCCAGCACCATTCGTTAAAGAGGCTGTCTTTTTCCACTGTACGCATTTGGCACCTTTGTTGAAAATCAGATGACTGTTCCTGTGTGGGTTTATTTCTGGGTCCTCTATTCTATTCCATTGGTTGACATGTCTGTTTTTGTGTCAGTACCATATTGGTTTGGACACTGTGGCCTGTAGTATAATTTGAAGTCAAGTACTATAATTCCTCCAGCATTGCTTTTTTTGCTCAGGATTGTGTTGGCTATCCAGAGTCTTTTCTACTTGCATATGGATTTTAGGATTATTTTTCTAATTCTGTAAAGAATGTCATTGGAATTTTGGTAAGGATTGCATTAAATCTATAAATTGCTCTTGGTAATTTAGCCATTTTACAACATTAATTCTGTTCATCCATGAACATGGGAGGTCTTCTCATCTTCTAGTGTCTTCAATTTCTTTCTTCTATGTTTTATAGTTTTCATTGTACAGGTCTTTCTTTCACCTTCCCGTTAGGCTTATTCCTAAATATTTAATTTTTTGAGGTTATCATGAGTGGAATTTTTTTATTCATTTCTTTCTTAGCATGTTCATTATTGTATATAGAAAAACTACTGATTTTTTGTGTATTGACATTGTATCCTGCTACTTTGGTGAAAGTACTTATCACACAAAGAGTTTTTTGGTGAGGTTTTTAGTGTTAAGTACAGTATCACATCATCTACAAATAGGGATAATTAGATTTGCTACTTTCCTCTTTGTATCCCTTTTATTTCTTTCTCATTGCCTTACTGCTCTGGCCAAGAATCTAATAACTATGTTGAATAAGAGTCATTCCTGATTTTATAAGAAAATGGTTTCAGTTTTTCCCCATTAAGTATAGCATCAGCTATAGTTTGTCATATATAGCCTTAATTATGTTGAGATATGCACCTTCTATTCCTAGTTTCTTCAGGGCTTTTATCATGAAAGGATGTTGAATTTGGTCAAAGGCTTTTTCTGCATATATTGAGATGACCTTGAGATTTTTCTACTTTATTCTGTTTTGT